TACTTTTATTCTAAAATTCTAAGTGTGCAAATAAACACACCGTGCACATGAATGCAAATGGCTAGACAAAAGGCATGTAAGTAGATCTTCGGTTCTGTAGGTTTTACTACCCACCCACAACCCACAGCCTACCCAACCTACACAGGAATCACTGGGAGGGATTTGGCAGGTGCAAACTGCTAACCGTCGGTCAAAACGAAGTCTTAGACCAATTTCTCTTTAGCATGGTAATGTATGTCTTGCGTATGTAGTGTATTGGTCAAAGTGTTTATTATTGAACTAAGTCACCTGTTCAGAGAAGGAAACTTGGTGGTTACCTGATATGAAGAGCATATTTAATATTATTCACACAATATAAAAGCAACCATAGACTATAAGGTCCTATGGTCATCTATTAACATTCTCAGGCTGAGAGCTCTGTCAGTATATACGTTTGTGTGAAATCTGTTTTATCTTAATTTTCAATGCTGTATGGCCTCATCACCCTTCAGCTGTTTCTGGCCCCAAAGAAGTAAACTTTATTTACTGTATCATCTTCCTACCTCTTTTTCCATGGGTTTACTATCTTCTGATACATCCTATTGGTCCTTTCGTTCTGACTGATATTCAGTGTGCTTCTCATTCTCACTCTACTCATTTACTAGGCCCACACCTTTCCCAGCCGACCCCCACCCCCACCCCGAGTTTTCTCTTTGCATTTATATATGCCCATGACTCAGTTTCAGAAAACTTAACTATAAACTTTCAGAATTCAACCTATTCTGAAAATATTCACTGAGTACCTACAATGTATCCGCCATTGTACTGAGTGCCAAGAAGGCAGCTGCAAGAGTCCAACCTACAGTCAGAGTGCTCAAACCTAAGCCAACAAAAGATGGAAGGCCAGTGGTGAAAGAGAAAGACTTTGGAGGTTATAAAAAACAAATTTAGGTTAAGAAGTGTGCTTGAGGTAGGAGCAAACAGAAGTCAAATGCAGTTTGTGGTCAGAGCCCAGATAAAGGGGTGGCAGTTTATACCTAGAAACGGAAACTACAGCAGGAAGCGAGTAAAGGCAATACGATATTCTAGATGCATTCCAGCCTTTATGGGGCAGCCAAGAAGAAGCAGACAAACTGGGCCTGAAACACAGACAAATATATTGGGGTTACCAATAAGACAGGTAAGAGCTGAAGTCCTACACGTAGAAGAGAAACCAGAGAAGCCTGCTTCTTGCAGAATTCTTGCAATGCCTGACATTCGTAAAAGAATTCCTTGGGAGCAGGGCATATCTATCTATGTTGATGGGACATGTGCTTAATAAAATAAGAGAACATGTTTTGAAGCTCTCATTATAGATATATTTTAATGGCAGAAAAAGTATTTAATAGGTAAATCAGTATCTAGGTAACTAAAGAATGTAAAATGGAAATGAGAAGAGAGAGAAAAGCGGAGAGGATAGGCAGAAGACTGTAAAAACGTGCGTGCGCAAACACACACACACACACACACACACAAAAGCAGCTTTGGTAGCCACATGGGTTAAGCATTGGACTGTTCACCAAAAGGTTGGTGCTTTGAGCCCACCAGCTGCTCTGTGGGAGAAAGAGGAGCTTCTAAAATCTCAGCCTTGGGAACCCTACAGGGCAGCTCGAAGTCAGAGCTGACTCGATGGAAGGTTTGCATGGGTTGAGTTGTCAAACACTAAAATAGAAACAAAATCACCTTGGGAAACTCTACCTGAATCAGGTGTAAGAAAATGCTGAATTACCGGTTGTGATTTAATGAAAAAGTGAATAAAAGGAGGAAACGAAAAAACAAGATATATTACAAATAAAGAATGATAAGCAGCAAACAAGAGGGCAAGAGCAAATAGCAAGTACAAAAACTGGAATAATCTTCCAAATAGCAAATACAAAAAAGGAATTAAGGGTAAATAACATGGAAGTAAATGGAAAAAAAAAAGTTTTAAGAAATATATATATTCAAAATACGAATGCTAATAATTTGACAGGAGAAAGTGAAAAGCCAGCTCTAGGACACACATACTTACTTCATTACTGAGCACAGCAGTGAAGGATCAAGCAGCCTGGTTTGAATCTGAATTCTGCTACTTGCTCATTATGCGGCCTTGGGCAAGCACAGAATATTCTTGTTACAGAAAAGGCCTGAGATAATACAAGGAAAATGCCTACTACAGAATGCTCAGCAAAGGAAAGTTGCTGGAGGGGAAAATGAGCCTAGTCTTGATTACTACTTAGAAATCAAATTCCCATAATTTTTCTAATTTAAAACATGAATTGCTATAGAACTTGAAATGAACTTTACTAGAAATGAGTGACTAACATGCGTGAGACAGTTTCACACTATTGGGTCAGCCCTGCCCGAAAGTAATGAGTAGGAAGAGGATGTGACACTGTGCCTTTGTGCCTTAGACCGTGTGATTTTCAAGTGGTAGCATCTTCACCACCAGGGGTTCATTCTTTGTTCAGAGATGTCTGAGAAAGTAGACCGGGTTCAGCCAATTCAGCTACATGCATGGACCCAAAGCCTCAGATGTACAGCCATTAAGATTCAAGCCCCTAGTCATTGAAACTCCCATCAGGCGGGAGTCTAAATTATGAGCTGCTCTATTATACATTACTAAACCCTATGTACAGGAAGGGAAATCCATTTGCCTCTCTAACGTGCTTTGCAAGACTTCCTATTGCTAAAGTAGAAAATGGAAATTTTAAGATGCTTAAATATAATTTTGAGAGACTGGGACCCACAATATTCTGTACAATCATTTCATGAATGTAAATCTACAAGAAAAAAATGTATTTTTTCAGGAGTATGTTTTTACCAAACTATAGAATTCCTGTTTCTCCACAGCTAGACAGTTTTTAAAGCTTTTGGGTACTTCCCTTTGAGTTCCTTGAGATCAGAGGATCTTCACCGGGGGACCATGGACCAATCGCGCAGAAGCTCTGTGGAGCCTCTGTATAACCCAGAATGGAATGTGATACTTTGTGGGCATGTACTGATGGACACTTTTCTCAGTCAAGTCATACTTTTCAATCAGATTTTCAAATTTCCCAAAAGACTTAAGCACGTTAAACATTTAAATAACTAGACCTATGTACAACATGCTAGCTATTTCCAAATTCTGACATCTGAGTGATTTCAGAAGTAAAGCACATTATGGCGTTCCCTGGTGGTGTAAATAGGTAAAGCCTCCTCATGAACAGATTGGTGGTTTGAATCCACCCAGAAGCAGGCCCTGGCAATCTACTTCTGAAAGGTTACAGCCTAGGTGTCATTCTGTCTTTGATGGCTCCTTAGTTTCATCTCCATACTTTCAGGGTAGCTTTACATTCTGGCCAGAACAATCACTTGACAACTACAAATCCAAAGCCATCCCTTGCCGCGGCCTAAGTTCCTAGTATGGTAGGCAATTTCTTTTATGACAGCATTATCAGTCTAGTTGTCCTTCACATTTCCTCTGTTGCTAATGTGCACCCTCGGAGGTAAGCTGAACCAAGTCATTACAATTCCCCAAAGAGGCTGCATTCTCTTAATGCATGCCTTTGCATATGCAATTCTGCCCAAAATGTCCTGTTCTTCTTCAGCAAGGCTTCCCTTACACACTACTCCCCCAAAAGTTAATGGGTTGTTCCCTCTTAATGAATGCATCAATTGTTTTGTAGAGTTTCATCTGGCTGCTGACATATTTCGCCTCGTCACATCTTCCCACTATCTCCTATAAAGAAGGGAGAGCCTCACTAGGATCACCTTTCTCTCTCTTTTCTACCCCATAATTCTAAATCGCTTTCTTGTTCTTTTGCCCATCATTCCCCTCACCACTTCTAATTTTCAAATTAACCCACTGAAATGAGGCAGCAATGAGCCTAGGAGATATGTATAAATAGGAAGTTAACTCGACGGCAAAGCTCCGCAAGGAAGTGGCCACTCTAGAAGTGCTTCTCTCATTCACTGCAGACCAGGAAGGGGGCAACTCCTAACTCTCGATGGCAGCTCGCGCCTGAGGAGCACCAAATGTTAGGGCGCCACCATTTAGGGTTCCAGCTGTGCAAAGGCGCTCGTCACGGGTGTTATTACTTTGAGACAAAGCCTGTTAAGGCGCAGAAGTACTTGCTCGCTATAAAAATAACTTGGTATTTCATGCACAAAACTCACATTGACAGATTTAAGTCTAAAATGGAAGAGGACATGTTTTTATCTAATTTTATATAAAATATCAGGAATATAATAAGCATTTTCTCCTGCCTTGTTATATGGAAATAAAGGGTTGTTTTTTGTTATTTTCTTCTTTACAAGGAATCAGGGGACATTAACTTTGTGACCCCTTGAGATCCGGAAAATGGCTTACTGGTTAAAAGTTCTTTCCAAAGATGCTAAGAACAAGTTAGCTCATTTTCTTGTATAATTTACGGAAATGTCTGCAGTAATGTGTAAGACTTAGAGGTTATCTTGTAGACCCTTGTGATAATATTGCAAAGGCCTATTCTCCCCAGTAAAAAAATTCTACCTCAGAAGGTAAAGGAATTTCCCATCATCCCTGAGAAAAAAAAGCATACGTATTTTTATTAGTTAAGAGAAGCCACTATAAACAAACTACCTATTTCTAGAGCATTCTCAGAATTTATATGGTACTCTCAAAGACTTTCTCAAATTAATATATTTAGTAGTTTGAGTAGTTGCATTGTTGCAAAGTCTTTAAGTTGAATTCACTATACAGCTGAACATTTTCTTATTGAAATTTGAAAACATTCTGAGAGGATGTTTATGGGACTTGAAACTCTGGGGAAATAAGGAAAGAAACAAAGAATGAGAAAGCCTTAGTGGAGAAAGTAAAGAGGCTAAGGCCATCTTTATGCATTTGTCTTTTTTCTCATTAAGCCGGTAACTCTGGCTATCCATATGTGAATACTCTCTTCTATTAATATACACCAGATGCCGAAAAAGAAAATGTATAAAGTCCCAAGCTAATTTAAGAGTTTTAAGAAAATGACAGAAAACACTTTGCCTTCTTAATCAAGGAGTGCTATAATATAATTTCAATGCATCGTAATATAATTCATTTAATCCTAAAGCAATTGTGCAATAAGCAAAATACAAGAAAGGGGAGGAAAATAGGGTTAACTTTCCTAAAGGGGCCAGAAGGTAAGATCTGTGCAGCACAGCAATTAACCTTCACATTCTGGAGTCTTGTTTGAAGCCCATCAAAAATTCAGATGAAAGGAAATCACAAGTGTCACCAACAAAAGGAATGTTGATTAGAATCAAAAACGTTCCCTAGTGCTGGCTTCTCTGATGGGATTTTGGAATCTTCCTGGCACAGTTTGGTTAAGCCAACTCTCACTGATGGCTCCATTAGAGAGGAAGAATGCCCCAGTCAGTGCTGCTTAAAAAACACAGAACACTGGGAAGGAAAACACAAAATGCAAGAACCTACTGTTCCCTAACATCTATGGCTTAGCACCCAGAGAAAGCCTTTGCCCCCAACAGAGACTTTCTACACAGGGCTAAGCTTCATTAGACGAGGCGGACCTTTCATTTTCAGGACACATCGTTTCTTGCAACGTCTTTAGGGGCAGAAGTTCCACTGGATTCTACTGTGGATTCTAATACACATCCCCGTGGGCTCAGCTTCCTGAAAACATATGCGTGCTGGGTTCTAGGTTCTCCTGATCAGTGACTGGAATCACTAGCTCACAGCCACCAGAATCGCACATACACTATTAGCATGATGAAGAACACAGCAACTGCTGCAAGTTTGGCGTAAGTGGAACGCATGTTCAAGTACTTCGCATCCTGGCGGTATTTCTTGGACAGACTGGACAAATTGTTAGCCTTGGAATCCAATGCTGTCAAAGAGGAAAAAAAGAAAACACTAATTAGTCTAGGGAAGTATTTTATTAAAAGTAACACATACAAATAGTCAAAATGAGTGCCGTTCTATCAAAGAGGCAGTTAATCCTTGAGCACAGTTTAAGTAGAGGCACACTAGTTACCCAGTGGTTAAATGCTCTGCTGCTAATCAAAGGTTGGTGATTTGAATCCAGCCCATCAGTCTCTGTAGGCGAAAGACGTGGCCATCCGCCTTCTGTCTCAGAAACTGTACAGTTGGAAGGGGCAAGGTAGTGGGTTTTGTTGTTTTTATTTTAGAAAACGTTTTCTTTTTCTTCCCCCAAGAAGTATACTACTTCCTCCTTCCTGGCTCATTATCAATATTAAACCTCAGAAAGTGGCTGTTTCGTGTTGGGACCTCGGCACTAAGTTGTATCAGGTATGATCTGACAATTCTGACAACTCTCTTCTTGCAAACTGCTTACAATCCATCTGATATTTCCCTCTGCCTTTGAGGGCTCCTTACTTGCATTTAAGCACTTGCTTCAAGTGCGCTGAACAAAGGCAAGCAAAGCAGAGGAGGAGAGCAATGCTCAAGAATGGCATCGAACTTGAAAAATCCAACCCAACAATTATTAATCTTGAGTTGTCCTTTTTAAGTGTAAGGTTACATACTGATGAGCTCATGATCCTGAAGCACAGTAAAATCTACATTTAAAACATATCAGCCCAAATTATGTTCAAATTCTTGAGGCTGTAGAGTCAGATGGGTGGGAGCACAGATTCTGGTGTCAGACACTCTGGTTCAAATATCACCTACAGCAACCATGTGATCTCCTCAGTCATTAACCTCCCTACAACTCAGCTGCTCATCGATAAAACGGGGATCGTAACAAACTATACCTTAGGAGTGTGTAGTACACAGATGTATAAGAGTGCATGTAAAGTGAGTTCAATGTCCACAAATATTAAGTATACACTGGATAAATGTTGGCTGATATTAGTAAAATATCAATTGCTATCATTTTCACAATCTTTTAGTAATTTAAGTAATAGTTTCTCATATGTTGAAAAATGATACTCCATACAAGACTCAGGTAGCCAGAAAATTCAATTAACCAACCAGATGCTAAGCACTAGGCTAACCCTCAATGGTGACCTTTACCAAATTTCTAAGAATATCCATGTAATAGACAACTATGAAACTAAAGTTATCATAAATAGTCTTTAAACAGATATAGGAAGGTTATACTTTAATTAAGTTATATTAGAAGATGTTAGAAAACCTATTATTTAATAACAAGCTTTTAAAGCCTTTTCTGCAGTTTTTTTTCCCCCTGCAAAAACATTTATTTAAAGCCATCTTTTTATAATTGTTAACTAAACTTTAAGGGAAACTAAATCAGATTAAATACAGTTTGTTTTAAAAAAAAGTATTGTGAAACTCACTGCCATTTAGTTGATTCTGACTGATAGGGCATAGAACTGCTCCGTAGGGTTTCTGAGACAGTCTATCTTTATAGAAGCACACCTCCTTAGCTTGCCCCCATGAATTGACTGGTGGGCTACCTCCAGAGAGCTTTTGGTTAGTAGCCTAATGCTTAATACACTGTGCCACCAGAGTCCCTAATTGTTGTAAACACACACAACATTTTCCAATATGAGTTTTTCATCACATACTAGTAGTGTACAATTAGTAACATTAATTATATTAAGCTATATAACTATCACCGTTATCTGTTACTGAATTTTCCATCATAAATACAGGAATGTTTTAAAAAAACATCTGTACTCATGTATAAGCCGAGTTTTTCAATATATTTTTAATACAGTTTTTGTGGTAAAATTAGGTGCCTCGGCTGATATTCGGGTCGGCTTATACTCGAGTATATGCATAAGAAAAATTCTGTTTGACACAAATGGATTATGATCAAACTTCTTACCTCTTTAAATTTTTAAAAATGATTTTGCAAGCTGAATTTATTTATTCTTCCTTAGAGAATGCTTCCCTCTCAAATATTTGGAGCTGCTTAATAAAAGCTTGGTTTTGATTGGGAAGTATGTTATTAACATCACAGGCATGGCAGTCACTTCTAAACTTGCAACTGGCCTTATGAGTAAGCAATACACCTAGTCACACAAGGAAACAGGTAAGGGTCGAGAAATACTGAAGTAATGCTGTAAGGAATCTTTCTAGCCAGCCTCCCAGAATGCATTCCCTAACGGTCAATGATGTGTCATGACTGTGTTCCCGGCTCTGTCCACAGTGCCTAGAACAGAATGTCTGCTAAGTCCCAAGTCAGTTCTCAGCAAAGCTTGCAGGAATCTGAATCTGCTGAGCATAGCTGGCAGAGGAGCGACTATTACACCACAGAAAGTAAGTGACTGCTAAGATGATTCTTTTACACAGAATATTTTTAAGCACATAAAACCATAAACACACAGATACTTCTTAGAGAAGTCAGTTAGCAAATATGTGTGCTATAGGCACCTTGGGAAGTGTTAGATTATGGCTAATAGCATAAAGGTAAAAGCTTGAAGCTCATAAAAATGAAAACTCCATTTACTAATTAACTTTGTAGTAAGGCTGAATTCAAGAAATACTCTTTATGGCATTGATTGGTGCCCATATATAAAACATGTACAATAGGAAACTTGTACATGTAGAAAGTTTACATGTACAAAACATGTATAAAACAAGTACAATATACTACCTTTAAAGAACCTGCATAAGTACAAAGTTTACATGTACAAAACATGTACAATATACTACCTTTAAAGAACCTGCATAAGTACAAAGTTTACATGTACAAAACATGTACAATATACTACCTTTAAAGAACCCGCATAACTGCATTAAATAGGTAAAACACCCAAATATACGTGCATATGTGTGTGTGTGTGTGTGTATATACACATGTATTATATATACACACACGATTAAGTGCTGAAAAACATTATGAGCTAAGTGCTAGAAGAGCGTAAAGGACAGAAGAGATTGAGGAAAACCAGGCTGTAAGGAGCACGGAATGTTTCTTGGAGGAGGCGGTTCTTGCCCAGCTTAAGGTGAGAACAGATCAGCAAGGATAGTGAGACAGCTGATCTGGCTGAGAAAGAATGCTTATGAAATCACAAGAGCACATCAACCACAGACACGCAATTACAACGAGTGACTAAATAAAAGTTCAGACCAGGCTGAACTATACTCCTGTAGTAACAGATTTTACAAGTTTTCAGCAAACAAATGGCCCTATGAAAATGGCTTTTGACCAAGATTCATCAGGTAAAAATAAAGTCTCATCAAAACGGTATTCAGAAAATCTCTCGAAGAAGTCTTTGACTACTTCCTCATTCTTTCTACTTTCCCTAACCTGTACAAGTGTTCTGTACCTAATTAGCTATATTTTTGTAACTGCCTTGTAAACAGTGACTGCTTCTGTTTTGTAAGACTCCTTTACACTGCCCAAGTCACCAAAACAAATCATACAATTTTAATGTCATGTTTACAAGACCTGAATGCTCAACCGTACTAGACACTCATATCACAAGGTACCCTCAGAAATGAGTCCTATTTGTATCACGGAATCCGAACCCCTTCTTTCTGAGATTCGCGCAGTGCCTTTAGATACCTGAGAGTGCTTCTCCCCGCTGTAGCACTTCCTCAATATTGGCCACCATGATCCTCTGCACGTCTTGCAATTCAGTGTTGATAGAGCCCAGGTTTCTCCGAGCACGGCTGTCAATGTAGTTTTTTTTGGTTTTTTGGATGTAGGTATCTGGAATGAAGAAGAAAATGTCCCCTAATGCCTTTCATGCTTATCAACGTACTGGAGGAAGGAACTGCAAGTTCAGGGTTTGGTTCTGCTGTGTCCATGATTGACCAAGCTCTTTGGGGACTATTAAAATTTTGGCTTTAATTTCTTCATTTGTATAGAATGTTAACAAGAAACTAGGTGCTTTGCACCCCCTCTGACCTAAAAGTATCTGTGCCTTCAAAAACGTAAGACATATTATAGCAATGCAGAAATATTCATGAAAGAGTTTTATTACATAATCCTATATAGTCCCTGAAGGCAGGATGCTGGCACCAACACAGCAACTTTACAGTTTAACCTAGTAAGAAGTACATAATCAGTAAAATATTAAAAAACATTTGTCACAAAGTTTTTCCTTTCATACACATCTCAACATCACCCATTCTTACACTTCAAGTAAAGCCAACAGGAGTTAAGTGGTCTCCCAAAACACCTCTATAAAAGGGCATTTACCTCTAGCTTTAGCCCTATATGTGTATGAGGCTGTACACTCAAAACTCTAAGAAAAGTGACTTATTACTAAAGATCATGTTTTCAACGTGTGACAAAATCTTAAATTCATTTCCATCTTTAAAGGTCCTCTCCACCCTTCTGAGCCTGCTGTCTGGCCTTCCAGGTTCCTTTAGGGTCTCGGGAAACAGAGAACTCCACAAGTGTGGAAGAAGGAGGTAGAGAATAAGCAAGGTATTTATTACTCTGGTTTCTCCTTGAGAAGTCACCTTGGGCTGAAGTATCCCTCTATCAGGATTACTGTTCTTCTCAGGGTTGGCCTACTGTATATATTTTCTCTTTCCCAATCCCCAAAATGCTGCCTCCCCTTCCCTCTGAGGCCTAAGGATGGCAATGACCACCAGTTTATTGGTCCTAGGTACACTGTAGTGCCCTTATAATCATTGTGTGTTCATAGTTCCTTAACTAACCTATTTCCTTTGTGTCATAACTGCACCAAGCCTTTTCTTCCTTGGATTTACTGGCATGTTATTTTTGTATCTAAAAATAAATTTTGAAAAAGCAGACAGCATATAAATTAATACTTAGGAGAGAATCTGCGGTTACAGAGCACTGGGCTTTCTTTAGCTAGATTTTCCCTATTTCAAAAACACAAAATGACCCTCTAATCTAGCAAGCTGGATAATACTTCTGAATTCTAAGAGTGCACAAGCTTATTTTTTAATGAAAAATTCCAGTGATGTAGCCTGATCCTACTTGTACTCACTTCCTAAACAGAGGATTCCGTTGGATCTGCTGCCACTTTACCTGGTCTGATTGGTGATGGGTCTAAGATTCTAAAACATGGACATTCATGCTCAGTCAGTATTTCTGCATACAGTATATATTTCTCTCCCATATCATATATCTTCTAGCACTTTTTCTTTTTGTAAATGAGAGAATCATATGCTAATAAAAAACTAAAACACTATTCTGCTTCAAATTTCTAAACTCTTAAATTCTGCTCTCCATAAAATGACCCATCTTGTGAATAAGTGTGAGTGTGTATGTGTGAAACGTGTATACAGAGGCTGGGGGCAAAAAATAACAGCAATTAAATGCCAATCAAATAGATTTTTAGACACATAGCCTTGCTACACATAATTCTACTGCAGAATCAAATCAAACGACAACAAAGGGCAGCGAATTCTAAGGGGAAAGATCTTTAAGAACTAAAAGGAAACCCTCATTTATTCAAAAGGACATAAAGGGCTGGAACGAGCGAGTGAGTCTGAAACATCAGTAGGTAGCCCACACTAAAAATGTTATCAGCGTAACAAATTACAAATACGTAGTTTGATCCCGTGCTAAAGCAGTGGAGAGTAGAAACTTACCAAACTCGATAAAAGAGTAAGGTCTAGACACAGTAGGCACCTTCTTTCCATGCTGTTCATCAAACTCTGAGTGCAAGTCTTCAAGGTAGGCAAAAGCCAACTTCTTAGGGAAGGCAGCTTCACATAAAACCAAGTAGCACACACCCTGTTCAATAATGTAGCTGGAGACAAAAAAAAAAAAAAGCAAGAGAGTTATTTTTAGTTGTTTTAGCGCCTCCAACAGTCTGAAGCTGATACTCACTACAAACTTGTGAAAACATCAAGTTTAAGTCTTTTGAGGCTGGATACATCAGAAAATTTTCAAATCACAATCCTTACAGTCAGGAGCAAGCATCTTTCATTTCATATTGTAAAAGGAGTATTTAGGCATGCTTATTATACTTGTTTATTCCTTTACGTAACTCTAAAATATTTTAGTACCTAAGACTATTTCTTGAAAAATCTGAATTATAACTCTACCTATCCTTTATGACTGTGTAGATGGCTGGCTAACACACACATCTAAACCCCTTTTAATCATTCATAAAGAAAATCAGTGGATATTGTTATAGATTGAATGTGTGTGTTCCTCCTCCCGCCCCCATCTCCCAAGATAAGTGGAAGTTCTAACTCATGGTACCTGTGAACCTGACCTGGCTGGGAAGATATTATCAGTTAATATGAAGTCATGTTGGAGGAGTTGGGTCCTAATCTTATCTGAGTGTGTCTTAGAGAAGAAAACAGAAACAGAGCATTACACAGAAGGAGACGTGTGACTGCAGAGGCTACTGAAAATCAAGGATTGCTAGGTCCCATTAGAAGTTCTAAGAGAGGCATAGATCAGAGTCACTCTCAAGAGCCTTCAACAGGAGTCAACACAGCCAATACTCGGATTTGGGCTTCTAGTCTGGAAAACGGACACAATAAACTTCTATTCTGTGAGCTACCCACTCTATGGTATTTTAATTCAAGGAAACGAAATCATCCCTAAAAGTCGAAGGTTAATGTCACAATGTATTTATTTACCTGGTATAGAAAACAATGACCTCAGGATTGATCACACTGTCTAATTTCCAAGGTAAGCGTACTTTGTATTAGCTGTAAACATTTCAGATCAGCGCAGACCTCCTACGTTTGACAGTGAGCTCCACGGCACCCAGGAAGGAGTTAAGACTGTATGTATGCCTCTCTACAGTGGCTCCTGAAGCAGCCATAAGGCTCCACGGATGGTTTAAAGACTACTGTATTCTATGATCTATCTGACCTTTACAAAAAAGCACTGCTACCTGAGCTCCTTGCCGTCAATCTAGAACACCTCCTAACATCACCTTATGTTCTATTCCTGAAAAAGGATATCTGATCACTGTTTCAAAATTCTACTCACTGCCACCAAAGCGATGCAGGCTCATAGTGACCCTATTGGACAGGGTAAAATTGCTCCTGAAAGTGCCCAAGACTGCAAGTGTTTACAGGAGTAGAGGACCCATCTTTCTCCCAAGGAGTAGCTAGTGGTTTCTAACTGCTGACCTTGCGAATTGAAACCCAACACATAACCACTAGGCCACCAGGGGTCCCTTTTCCAAATTCTAACTTGTTCCTTAATATCTGTAAAACAAAATCACAGTCCTTGATACAATATCTGTAGCTTTTTCATGTGTAGACTACATTCTATCACATCTATCAAATGACATGCTGTTCTCCAATAAGCAAGGTTCTTTTATGTCTCCAAGGACTTCTAAGTATGTTGTTTCTTTCTAATTGCAATGCTCCTTCATATACGTGAAAAATCCTATTTTCAAATGTCAACTGTACTGTAATTTCTTCTGTAAAACTTTTCTGTATGCTTTCTTTATGCCCTTTCCTTAAACTTACCACCCACAGATGTAAATGTAATGCTCCCATTTGTAGACTCCCAAAGTATTTCACTCATATCTTAATTTTAGCAATTTTTGCCCTGTGTTACTATAGTATACTTATGTGTCCCTCTCTGTAAACAAGAGAATAAATTCACTAAAAACTATGGACATTAAAAGCAGGGTTTATACAAGATCTGGTAAAGAATAAACCTTTGATAAATAGCTCCCAGATAGAAATAAGAGATGGAACGAGGCTAAGAAGATCCTAAATAAAGCAGGTAAGAGAAAAACTCTTTCTCAATTCCATGAGAACTTTCCTTGAGCCTTTGTTCCCTAATCTATGTTGGAGATATGGATATTATATAATGAAGCACCTATAATATTTTGGGCAGGAGAAAGACTGGGTCTAATATTGCCACAAAGAGTTATAATCTTGGAAACTCACCAGGGCAGTTCTACCTTACCCTATAGAGTCATCGTGAGTCAGCACTGACTCGATGGCAGTGAGAGAGAGAGAATATTTGGGGGCAAATCTGCTGTAAAAGGCTTCTTTAAACTGTTAACAAGCAAAAATTTTACTTTGAGGGCTGATGACTGACCCAAACCATGGTATTTTCGATTGTCTCATGTGTTTGCAGACGCCCAACAATGTAATAAGGAAGACTGAAGAGCCGAGGAAGCAGAATTGCACTGTTGGTACAGAACCCTGAAAATCCCACTGACTGCCAGGAGGATGCACAAGTCGGTCTTAGAAAAAGTATATGCAGAATGCTCCTTAGAACAAGGATGGTGAAACTTCATCTCACGTACTTTGGACATGTTATCAGGAGAATCCATCCCTAGAAAAGGAGAGCATGCTGGGTAAACAGAGGGGCCGTGCAAAAGAGAATGACCCTCAACGAGACAACTGGCACAGTGGCTGCAACGATGGGCTCAACCACAGCAGCAAGTGTGAAGACGGCGCAGGACCGGGTAGTGCACGCAGATAGGGTGGTTACAAAGTGGAACAGACCCACCGGCACCCAACGACATTTCAGAAAGGTTAGCAAGGATGCTCATCTACATGTATCTGGCCCCAAGATGTTTCTAAAACATAAGTTACCCGTTATAACCCGAGGTGTCCAACATTCATTAGACATGTTCATGTATGACTTCAGTTTGATAGAATTACAAGCAGGGGAGTTACTTACTGATAAGGCTATATTCTTAAAGTTACCTTTACTAAAGAAAAATAAAACACTACTATCATTCCAGTCAGATACTCCTTATATTACTGTATTTCATATCTAAATGAACACAGAGAAATCAGGATCGTACTTACTGAAAAGTCATGGCTCCGGCTTCCAAGGTGCATCTGGTAGGGGACTGTTCATTCAACTTTCGAAAGAGTTGTTTAGCTTGACTCTGGTACTGCTGAAGGTCCCGGCCAGACTGAAAGAAGACAACTTATTTTAAGGATTTTCCAACAAAGCATAGCTGTATCAACTAGTAAGAAGTACAATAATATTATGAAGACACTATGTGAACAAGTTTTCCCCATTTATAGCTTAACAGGATCATTTTGAAATATTTTAAGACTCATTAAAAAATATTAAACAACTTACTTTCAGAGCAAAAGAGGAAGACTTAGCCCATTGTTCAAGAAAATGTTGTTAGTTGTTTGTTAACATGCTAAACGGTACACCCCAACTGCACTGAACGCTCTGCCACCTTTCAATCCAGGGCTCCTTTCTCTACCTCAGTTCCCTTGCAGATACGAGCACACACAAGCACAGCCTGCACGGGACTGGGGGAAATCTTGGGATTAACACACAGATGAATCTCATTTTTATGCCGGACAAACAGAATCTCCTACAAAGTAGTACAATATTGGGCATTTACACAAAACTGTGTGCAGCCATGATTGAAAATTGTTGTGAATCTTATAACTGTAACGAAGTAAAAACAAGAGGAGAAAGATTGAAAGTCAAATATTCTTCCCTGCATAAATCTATGTGGTGACTGAGATTAGTTAGAAAGAGCTTAGGTAACAGCAAACCTGAACACTGAGAAATAACTGTATACTCTATTGGACGCTTCAGTTTTGATCAATGAATAATAGGAATTCAGGAAATAAGGGACCTAAAATATTATCAAATTAAGTTAGTTCTTAAGCAGATACGTGCAAAATAACATTCAGATAATAGGATTAAAAGTAATATCCATCTAAGTCATTCTAAGTGGTTTTAAAATTTAACCTTTTCTTTTTTTTGTTTACTACGAGAACATTTATTGCACAACTACATGTTGAAATCCTCAAGATGAACTTGAGGCGGCAACAGCTGCCCTCTCGGGTGTAGGAGTTGTCCCTTCACGGAACCCATGCCTGAATCTGCGGCATACAACGTTTAGTGTCTCATTTGACCAGTACCGGTGGTATTTCTCTTTTAGCCTCGGCACTCGTTATACTTTCTCTTGTGCTTGGCTGGGCAGCCACACGTGCCACGGGCGACTTCTGGAGGTGGTAGGTCTTGGAGCCCCGCGGCGGCACAAGGTGTGCGTCTTATTGCGACGCTTTCCCAAGGATGGCGTTCCCTTCGTCATCTCGCTTCTGCGGCCCCGACCAAAGAGGCCAGAAGAGAACTAAACTTTACTTAAAAAAAAAATCACTTTATTGGGGGCTCTTACAGCTCTTATCACAATCCATACATACATCAGTGTC